GGATCTAGGGCTTGGGTTGGGTAAACAAAGCAATGTGGCCGGAAGCCCTCCACCGCCGGACCGAATCACTTTGGTCTGCTTGCTGAACTGAGTCACTTTTGGTGTTTTAGTAGAGAGGAGACCTAGAGGATGAGAGAGGGAGAGAGGATGAGAGTTTTTGGGTTTGAATGGGTTTGGGTCAGTAAGTAAAGTGCGAGTGAGGAATGAGAATAGAGAGTGAATTACACGCGTCGAGGCAATCGCGCCACACTTTGTCGAGGCACGAATCATTTTTCATTAAAAAGTTACTAAAATAACTTGTTTCTAAACCAGGCCTTATTTTTTATTTTAGTGAATTTTTTTATTTTTACATTTTTGGTTGGTCTAATAAAGTATATTTTAAAAGTCAAAAGGTTTTTAATTTTTTTTTTAAATTCATCAAAAATAAAATAAAATAATAGATAACCGAAAAATCACTGAAAAATTACATCTTAACAAGTCATTAAGGAATTAGGTTTTGAGTTTCAAAAAGCCTTAGCCCTCGTTTGGCATGTTAGAGCATTTCCAATGCTATTTGTTATAATACCATTGTCATTGTTATAATTTGACAGTGAATAGTAGTAATTTGCCAAATTATAACAATGGTGCTCCAATGATACACATGTTATTTTTTCAAATATTAACTAATTTTCCTTCCAAGTTTGTAGATGGTGTTCAGATATAGGTTTTTTAGTGATTTTTTATTTTATTTTTTGTCTTTTATGACATTTTTTTAATTGTTTGTAAAAAAAATTATATATTTACATTATACCCAACTAGATAAATATAAAAATTTAAAAAGAAATTGAAAAATTAAAAAAAAAATTAAATATAATTCACTCTACTAAAAAACAAACCCTACAAAAAATAAATAAATAAAATGTAATTCACCCTCATCTTTGGATCTTTATATAATCCAACGGCTGAGATCGACTTCTAGAATCATCTTCCCTTCTCTTCCCAAGTTGCTCTCTCCCTCTTTTTCACTCTCACCTCTCTGTTTCTTTTTTCTCTTCAGCTTTCTCTCACTCTTTCTCGCACTCATTATCGACCAACGATCACCTCATCATCAATTACCGATCACCGACTCTTACCTTTTTGTTTCTCTTTCTCTTCAGCTTTCTCTCACTCATCACCAATCACCGACCACCGATTCTCATCACTTCTCTGATGATGAACCCCCCGTCTCTCTCTCTCTCTCTCTCGTCCTTCAAATCTTAAATTGTTTGAGAAACCCGAAACCCATGAAATCGAAGATGAAGACGAAGATGATGAGGCACAAACAAACCCTTATCCCTTCATCGAATCTATCATTCTAACGAAGATCAATCCAATGAAAATCAAGATCAGTCCGACGAAACCCTCTATTGATCAGTCCATTTCTCTCTCAAAATCTGGGCATCTCTCACTTCTTGGTGTTCGGCGATACCTTAAGGTTTTTCTTTCTTTATTTATTCTTAATATTTTTTTTTCTACAGCCATTTTGTATTGGTGAAATTTGTTGAAATTTGTTTCAAAGCTATAAATTGGTGAAATTTGTGTCTAGGAAAGGCACACAAATTGGTGAATTTGGTGATTTTTGTTTTTAAGACACACCTTGAAGTAACAAATTGGTGAATTTTGTTTTGTTATTGTTTTTTTTAAATGGTGAATTTCTTTCTTTTTTTAAATAATAATAATAATAATAATAATAAAAAAACTTCAAACATTTTTGGGAGGTTTTTTTGGAAAATGCCCAACTGAAAAGGAAAGAGAGAAGGAAGAAAGCAGTCGGTTTTTGGTTGACCTAGCAGATTTGGCAGCTGTTATAACATGCCATTGAAGAAGCCATTTTTGTCCAAACTGTCATGCTATGGCTTTGGCAACTGTTTTAGCAATGCATTGGAGATGCTCTTAGGTTGGGGAACTTTTTGCTAAAATAGTCACACAAAAAAACAAAAAAGTCAATAAGATAAAATGTCACATCCAAACCGTAATCATTTTAATTTTCTTTCACAAAAGTCAAAAAACCTAACCCAAACGAGATTTAGCCCTAGGCTAAAATAGTCAAAAAAACCAACTCACTTCCCAAATGAAGCCTTAGAATCTAGAAATTTAATGTGTGATTTAGATGTAATTCTTGTATTGTAGAATTCATGAAAAATTCTCCTATACACACCTCATATCATATATACTCTTAAGTTATACTATTTTTTTTCATTAGTTATAATTAATTTTCTTCTTAGGTATGACCTTGTTTTAGTTATAAATTATGAGATCTTTAGTTATGCCTCATGTACTGTTTAGTTATGACTTTTTATTTTTATTTTTTAATTATGATTCTAAAAATATGAAATTATGTCATTTTATTGTTTAGCTATAAAATACGTATGGTACACACCCTTTGAGAGGTGTGCACCATAATCTTTTTGAGAACTCATACAAAAAATGAATATCAATCATCTTTCTTTTTTTCTCTTGTGGAGTATTTTGAGTTTTGTTTTGCAAAATTGGCAATAACTTAAGACATTATCTAGATAATAGAATTCTCCTTATTATTAAATTAGTGCAATAAGAGCATCTCCAATGGAAGCTATTATTGTCAAAATTTCGCAACAGAAAGACCAAACCTTGCTCTAATGGAAAGGTATGGTAGCTGTCAAATATGGCAAATGCCAAAACTTGTGTAGCTGACATAATCGTCAACTCACAAAAACAACAGTCCTCTCTCCCTCCTAGCAAAACATTCATTCCTTCTTCCTGTCCAGCATTTTTGTAGACGAAAGTTGAAAACTGGTGTGTGTGAGACATTTGGCCAAATGATCAGCCAAACGTCCCCCACGTACCAATTTCTATGTCAAAATGGCAAAAATGACCACTCTCTATTGGAGCACCATTGCTATAATTTTACCAAAAGTCTACTATTCATTGCCATAATTTGACAATGACAATACTATTATAACATTTGCTATTAGAAATGCTATAATGAAAATGTATATCAAACTTAGATTTGTACCTAAGATCGGCAGTTCCATTCCTCATCTCATTGGTTTACACAATTTGTTTCATTACTCTCCCTCAAGTCTAAATTTAAATTTGAAAAAACTTAAAAAGTTTGTAATGTTGGTTACCGATCCCGTTTTAATTATGAATACCGTTAAAAATGAACCTATAATCTTAACTTTTCTATTTTATCGTATTTGTATTTAAAAAATAAATTATTTATTTATTTTTTAAAAATTGCCGTCTATTTTTATAAGGACAAATTACAGCGCTAATCCCTATATTTTGACCCTCAATCCCGCTACATACACCCAGTGACGTGGCGACCCCCAGAGACGTGGCAACCCCCAGTGATTTGGTGATGAGGTGGCAGCTAATGTGTAAACACAGCTGGAAAAAAAAAAAGAAGGGAAAAAACGGGAATTTCTGTCTTCTCTCGTCTTCCCTCGTATGTCCTCAACTCTCGCCGCCATCCTCGTCTATCCTCGTCTGTCTTCCCCCTCCTATCCTCACCTCTCGCCACCATTCTCCTCCTCCACCATGGCTCGCCGGGAATTTCTGCAAAAACTAGTGGTTAGTCTTTCTCTAGAAGGATTGAAATTCTCCGTATGGGTTGTGGAAGTGGGTCTCAGATGTTAACTCATTTCTTCAGAAGAATGTGAAATTTCCTCCTCCTCCACCATATCAGATTACTAGCTCTCATCTATCCTCAGAATTCCTGTAATTTTGCTCTGTCTGGTTTTGCTCTGCTCTGTCTCTGTCCATTAATCTGGTTTATGAGGTAAAAAATCAATTTCATATGCTAATCTTTCAGTTATATGCTAATTCTGAAATCTGAAATATAATCTGTAAACTATAATCAATTTGTCATTTTGGACACGAGTTATGTTTTTTAGGTAAATCTGTTAGCTGTGGACAAATCTATTAACTGATCTGACTAACTTGGCTACACTAGATTGACATAGTGAAACATCACCGTTAGTGAGTTGGCTCTAGGTGGTAATCGTCACTGAGTTCCTACAAGAGCAAACCCCTTTACAGATTAAAATAAAGATAATAAAAATATACATGAAAAAAGTGGGGGCCTCCATTTTCTTGGATCCCTTCTGCATAGTGCAATTACTGAGTGTGAAATGAAGTTTCGTCCACTGTTACCTTGCATTGATAGTGCATATTGGAACTCCACTCTTCCAACTCCGGCACTCTGTTTGGCTACAGTCCGTGGCCCTCCAGCCAAGAAAGGCATGCTTGGTAGCAAAAAGATAATCTGGGCATTATGCTCAACTAGAATATGCGTGAAATTGTATCCCTCAACATTTTATTTATGGATTTTCTGCAACCATAGCGCCATTTTAACCAAATACAATTTATATAATTTTTATGAGTAATTGTGCTCAACTGTGGTAGCAAACTTCATAATCTGTAATCTGTAAGCTTGGTAGCAAACTTCATAAGCTTGGTAGCAAACTTCATATAATTTCCATAATCTGTAAACTGTGTAGTTCCATAATCTATAAACAGTTTATATAAAATCTGAAATATGAAGTTTAGTTCCATAATCTGTAATGATATTTGTTTAATTGTTATTTCAGTACGCAAAGTGGAGAAATGGAGGTTGATTCAAATGTTGAAGGTGAGAATCCTTTAATAAATGAGGGCGAACACGTTGAAGAACCTAAAAAGGGTATGTGTTTTAGCTCAAGGGAAGAGGTGTACACATTTTATGGCAAATATGCTAAGCATGTCGGATTTTCTATAGCTCATAGAGCACAACATTTTGGAGATGATGGGCAATTGCTAAACTTTGCAATTGAATGTTCTCGAGCGGGGCAGAGAAGAAAGACATTAGAAGTCAACCCTCTAAGCCATGTTTGTCCACAAAAATTGGTTGCACAACAAGGGTACGAGGTAGTGTACAAAAGGATGGGAGATATAAACTAACCACAGTTAACCTTGAGCATAATCATGATTTGATTCGCACCGACTCACGTCATTTTGCAATGAATAAGAAAATTCTTACTCCTGTGAAGAGAATATTAGAAATTAATGATGAAGCAGGGATTGGGGTGTCTAAGAACTTTCATTCAATTGTTGTCGAAGCAGGGGGATACGAGTCATTGACATTTGACGAGCGAGATGCAAGAAATTACATTGAGAGAGCTAAAAGGTTGAGGCTTGGGGAAGGTGATGCCGAATCACTTCAAAGTTATTTTATGAGGATACAAGCACATAGTGAGAGATTCTTTTATGTGATTGATGTTGATGAGGAGTTTCGCATTAGAAACTTGCTTTGGGCTAATGCAAGGAGTCGGGCGACTTATGAAGCATTTGGAGATGTCGTTTCATTTGACACAACTTATTTGATGAACAAATATGACATGCCATTTGCTCCATTTGTCGGAGTTAATCACCATGGTCAGTCCATTTTTCTTGGTTGTGGATTGTTGTCTAGTGAAGACACTAACACATTTCTTTGGCTATTCAAGTCATGGTTAAGTTGCATGTCAAATCATCCGCCAAAAGCTATCATAACTGATCAGTGTAGAGCTATGCAAAATGCTATAGAAATTGTGTTTCCACAAGCTCGACATCGGTGGTGCTTATGGCATATCATGAAGAAAATTTCGGAGAAGTTGAAAGGATATGCTCAATATGAAGCCATAAAGTTGGCTATGCAAAATGCAGTTTATGACTGTTTGACAAGAGCTGAATTTGAGAGTAAATGGGAAGAGATGCTTGCAACATTCAATCTTTATGATAATGAGTGGTTGGGGGTACTATATGATGAGCGGAATCGATGGGTACCTGTTTATGTTAAAGACATTTTTTGGGCTGGCATGTCAACTACACAACGAAGTGAAAGTATGAATGCGTTTTTTGATGGATATGTAAATCCAAAAACTACATTGTAGCAATTCGTTGAACAATATGACAATGCCTTGAGAAATAAGGTAGAGAAAGAGAAGAAAGCAGACTTCAAGTCTCGACACAAATTGTTTGATTGCCTAACTATATACGGGTTTGAGAAGCAATTTCAGCAAGCCTACACCAATGCGAAATTCAAAGAAGTTCAAGGAGAGATGAAGAGATTAGTTTACTGTCAGGTGGTGATTGTGAAAAAGGAGGGATCAATTTGTACATATAATGTCCAAGAAGCGATGGTAGTTTCTGAGAAGATGAAGCATGTGGACTTTGTTGTCTATTTTAATTCAACTGAATGTGAAGTTCAATGCATATGTCGGTTGTTTGAGTTTAGAGGCAATATGTGCGCTCACTCACTCGCTGTGCTTGTCAGAAGATGCATAAATAAGGTGCCAAGTAAATACATTTTGCCCCGGTGGAGAAAAGATATGGATAGAGAATACGCATGCATCAAAACCACATATACCGGCTTTGGGAATGATTTCAATGCAAGTACCTATGAGAGGATGAACAAAAAATTGATTGCCATTGTACAACTTGCTGGTAACCGTGAAAGCAAAACTAGAATTGTAAACCTTGGGTTGAATGAAATCAAGGAGAGAATCATGAAAGAAGAATCCGGTGATGGGAGTAATTTACCATGTTTAACAAGAAGTCCGATTCACACCGGTTATACACAAGGAGGTACTAGTAGGAAGGTGATTAGTCCTTTGGTTGCTTGGCGAAGAGGTCGTCCAGTTACGAAACGGAAGGTTGCCAAAGTAGATCAAATTGTTAATCGGTTCAAGGCAACAGCAAAAAAACAAACAAAAGCAAAGGTAAATTGTGTATTCAAATGTTTTTTTTGACAAAGTATATTGAAGTATGTAAAAGCAATTCATAAATTTCAATATGTAATTATTCTTCAAAACATGCAGGCTGCTAAGTTGCTCCGATTTGAACCTGAAGCTCAAGCTCAAGCTAAAGCTCAAACACCGTATTATCCTTATATGGTTGGCACAGAAAATAGTATGTATGTAACGGTACGTGTTCCAAAGAGGCCTTCATGTACTTTTACAAAGTGTATTCGAAAGAGTACTTCTTGTACTTTTGCATCTTTGTATTGTTCTAACATGTACTTTTTGCAATGAATTGTCATAGGTGTCCCATGGTATTGGAGGCACATCTCTTACTCCATCGGACTTCATAAGTGGCACACAGGGAAGTTTGATGAGTGCTCCAACTCAGATTTATGGTTCTGCATCGGGAAACTTGGATATTACAGACTTGTTTGACTAGTTTCTATGTATTCCAACTGTTTGTTTTTGAGATTGGAAATTATGTAGTCTATTATCATGAGTTTCAAACTTTGATGTTGAGAAGATTGGATATTATGTAGTCTACTATTATGAGTTTCAAACTTTGTTATTTAATATACAATGTTTATTTAGCATGTTCAATAGTTTACCTGTATTCAACAATAGTTACCTTGTATTCAACAGTTTCCTGTATTTAACAATGTCCATTCAATGAGTATTGAAGAAAGTGTACAAATTTGAACAAGCCATTTTCCATTCCACTAACAACAAAAGAGGTACAATAAGTAGGTTTCAATACACAACAAAACATGACTCCCTCCAAAACATCACAAAAGTATTAAGTCTACTTCAACTTGTACATTGACATCTACTTCTACTTATTACATATTCATAAGTTTAAAGGCACCAATTACAAACAACACGGACAACATATATATCAACTTTTGCATCTTTGCGTTCTGAATTCGAAGTTGTTCCGTCAGCTGTATTTGTTGTTCGGTCATAGCTTGAAGTCGTTCGGTCATAACTTGTTCGCCAACAGTTGGGACTTCGTCTGTTTGAATTTGATGACCTCCATATTCTGGATTCGTAGGTAAACACCATCCGATAAAACCACAAACATTACAATAGTAGAATAGCTTGTTCTTGTTTTGCTCGGTTTGTGATATTTTGATGGTGGCCTTTTTGTTACATGTACGACAAATTCTATTCACGTATGTCAACCAACCTGAGCTACTACCACTGACATTTGAAGTTGACATCTGCAAAGAGGGACAAATAGCAAGTTAAGTTAAGTTAATAAGTTAAGTTAATGGAGAATAAGTTAAGTTAACTTAATAAGTTAAATTACAGTTATAAGGAGTCCTGTAGCAACCAAAATATAAGCTTATCAACCAAAATCCACTTAGAGTAAGCAATATGAATTTTATTAGCCAGGCCCATTCTGTAACTGCAGGAGTTCAGTTGGTGTTGGTACCAACATAATACTTCAAGTTGAGGAAACCATTTCACATTCTGAAGTTCAGTTTTCCTTTATGTACTATTTACTCACCGATAAAACAGAAATTTCAAATATATATATTCAAATGATCTTATAATTTAGCAATTAAAAATAATACATAAAGGGAGGAAATTTCTGGATACAGAAGATGAATGCTGAAGGTGCAACTTTACAAGGCTCTGGATGACAAGGTTCAGTTTTTTATTTACATTCTTATATATGACAGTGGCTTGGTGTGGACAAAGAACTGAAGAAGCTTGTGGTCGAGACCACTGCAAATCAGGTAACACTCTGCAGAGATTGCCATCAAGTCATTCCATAATGATCAATCCTAGGTTTGCTCTCTTAGATGGATTCCCACTCTTCATTTGTAGAGGTCACTGATGCTGATGTGTGTGTGTTAAGTACAAGTTTGCTTTTAGACTAATGCTACTTGTCTTATTCCTCCCTTGTTTTGAAAGGAATTCTGCAATAATGAAAACTTCTTATGCATTAGAGAAACTAGAGCTCATTATGCTTTTTATTATAACTGGTTACTCATTATGCTTTTTATTATAACTGGTTACTTATTATTTATTATAATTCTGTAATTATTATTGTTTAATCATATTTTTAATGGCTTGAATTATCTGTTACAGGACCCACTGGTTTTCATAATTGATTATAAGCAACAGAAATGACAAGTCGAAATTATGCACCTTCAGCATTCATTGTGTCATTTATTTAGTCGAAATTATGCACCTTCAGCAATTGCTTATAATCAAAGCATTCACCTTATGCACCTTCAGCATTGACTATTAAAGCATATTAAAAGGTAAACCATATAATGGGCATTGACTATTAAACCATCTTCTGGTGCATAGAAATTGAACCAATTGAACCAATTATGCACAGAAATTTCTGTATAATCAAGATGAATCCTGAAATTGATTTAATGAAGAAATTATGCACTGGAGAAATTAAACCAATTCAAAAAGGTAAATGATTAGATTAAACATTTCGTTGGGGAATTTCATCGAACACGTTTAAGGCAATGTAAGACTCCAACTGAAAAGGCCACAATTCGTAAATGAAAATGCCACAATTCCCAAATCAAAAGGAAATTTCACAGATAATACATACAAATTTCATAGATAATAAATGAAATTTCACAAATTTCCCAAATGCCACAATTCATCGAACAGGAAATAGATAGATAGATAGATATGTATATATATATATATATACGCAGATATACATACAGTTGAAGTGAAGGGAAGGAGAGACAGAGAGATTCCACAATTCATCGAACAGGAAATAGATAGATAGATATATATATATATATACGCAGATATACATACATTTGAAGTGAAGGGAAGGAGAGACAGAGAGATTCGCGAGTGAAGGGAGGGAACGAGCTGTCGGTGTCGGAGTTAAGGGAAGGAGTGGTCGCCGGCGTCGGAGTGGGAGTCAGGCGTCGGAGTGGGGGGCAGTAGCAACTCAGATTTATGGTTCTGTTACCTTTTTTTGAGAGGGGAGGGGGGAAAATTTCAAATGAAATGTGAACCTGTTGTTTGGGTCTTGTAAACACAGTCACGTGACTATCACGTGAGTGCCACCTCACTGGGGGTCACTGGGGGTCGAGGTAACTGGGGGTAGGAAGCATTTTTGTTTTGACCCTTGTATCATTTTGGTCCTTATAATTTTAATTGGCATGATTTTGATTTTGAATTTTTTATTTTGTATTAAATTGGTCCAATTGATTTCAATCATTAGCATTTTTGAACGGAAAATGCACACATAAGTAATATGTGCCATATTTATAGGGCCAAAATTATGAACTCAATCAATTTAGTAATTTAACATCAATCAACTCAATGATCATTTTCTGTCAAAAAGTCTAATGGTTTTATTAATTGGATCAAATTAACAAAAGCTAAAATTAAGGGTCAAAATTAAGCAGAATTAAAATTTGAAAGACCAAAATGACACAAACGACAAAACGTAAAGACTACCGATATATCTACCCCTTTTTTTAATGTAATTAAGCTTACTTTTTTCCATTTCGATAATGTTTGAACTAGCTAGAGATCTAGTAGGCTGTTAATAGTGTAGGCTTGAATATATTTGGTGTTGCTTCCAATTGCTCCTTTTTAACATGGCAAGAATCATGATTTCTCTACTCCTTATCATGATATACTCTTTATTTTTTATTACAATGAAGTTCTAACTTTGCCCCCAAAAAAATTTTAAAAATTTATTGCGCTATGGAATCATGACAATACTAAAGTTAATTTTTGACATGCAATAATCTCAAAATATTATAACAACACCACTACATCTACATAATTCTTTTCATCTGAATGTGCATAATTGAGACTCTTAATTGTATGCATTCAGATAGAGAAAATTATGTACATGAATCATTAATCATATTATAATTTGACAATCTTGCTTCAATTGAGGGAACGTTATTTCTTTTATTTTTTCCTCACAAAATATCAAATGAAAATATTGTAAACCATTCATAAGAAACATAAAAAGAAAATTTTTCCAAAGTACGGCAATAATTTTAGCAAACCGATAGAAATGAATTTTTGAATAGCCTTGCCAACTTTTTACTTTGGCAAGAGTCGTAGCATGCTAAAAACATCTCCAGTGGTGTGCTATCCTCAACGTCAAAATCAAAATTTGGCTACTAACTATTCCAAACCTGTCTCTAATTGAATGCTATTTTTCATGCCAAATTATAATAATGTTCAAATTTGACGAGATATAGCCCAACAAATAGCATTCGTAGTCGCAAACGAAAGGAACCCACATCCCACTTTTTCTTTCCATTGCCCCATTGCCTGGACAGGACTCATCTGATTTCAGTGGAAGAAATCAAACTATATAGCATACACTATGGTTCCCAAAATTGCAAAATATCAATTGACATAAAAACTGGGAAGTACAACATTACTTCTCTTATTCAAGGTTAGGGATATGCAATACAGTAAGGTCACATAGTTCAATCATTTCAACTCTCAAGCCAACAATTGAAAGATATTCTGTTGTAACTCATGGGTAGAAAGACAATGTAAATTCATTTGCAATCGAACATACCAATTATAAATAGTTGATCGACCAATTCATAACATATTAGTACCAGGGGAGAAAAGAGAAGCAAACAACATTATTTACATCTAGAAGGTAACAAGGAAAAAAGAACACACACACACACCAAACAAAAATATATATATATATATATATATTTGAGTACTCGGACCAGTCATCAGCAACTTATGAGGAATAAGCAAGTTTGTCCTAAAGCTTGACATGGAATGAACTAATACAATTTCACCATTTTAGACGGTCGAGTTCTAACATTTTCCCAATAAAACTAAACATGTAAATACTCCCATCAACCTCACATCAAACATTGAAGGGTATTAACGACATTCTAACTCATCTATTAGTGCCAAATACTCTTAACCAAAGAGCTAAAAGCACTACATTTGGCTCTCAACCATTTTAGTGTTTGGACACAACAAATCACAAAGTAGAAATTTCAAATTTTGGGAATTTAAGGATTAACTTGCGATTCATTTAGGTAAATGCCCTTCAAATGCCTAATGTGATGGTGCCGAAAACATTTTATGTTTGTTAAAGGACATGATTACATTGGATGAATATATTAAGTTTAGGGATGCAATTAATACAAATTAAATATTAGGGACCAAAATAAAACAAATTGTATAATTTACTCTTCTTTTGTGCATCTACAGATTCTACACAGCACATTAACTACAGTAACACATTTTTGAACCCAAAGAAGTAAATATGTTCATTCAAGACCATATGTTGACTGTTTTACCTTTCAGTTCATTCCAAATAGTGAAAAAAGCTTCAATTTACAAAACTTTTGCAGACCATGCCCAAAATCAGAAGTTCAAAGTCTCAAGCAATTCTTGTTTGTGTTGAAACACATAAAGAAATAGGACAAAAAGCAAGAAACTGCACCTTCACCATATTTCAAAACCATAAACAAGCTGTGGTAATCAAAGTAGCTCCTGCATAACTACACCCAAAATAGAACTTTCACTCTCTAAAGCACCACTGCAATCTGTTCATCAGTATTCCTCCGAGAAAAAAAGGCTGATTTGTTTTCTACCAGCTCAGCTTCTGCACATCCGTTTCATTAAATTATAAGTCAGATGATATCATACTTTAATAAAAGCCAATGTAGGTCTTTCAAAATATTTTTTTTGTAAGTCATAATTTTTCAAATTTTGCATCAATTGCATGGGCTTTAATATGAGCCATGAGAAAAGAAAAATATAATGATTGAGGAATCAGATTGTTCTCCCAAGTTTCCCTATCACTTTTTTTTTTTTCCCCTGGTTTTTATTTCATTATTTATTTACTTTTGGGTGGAGGTGGGTAATGAATATACTGCTCTTAATCTGAATCTCAAGTTTTAGAAATCCAACCATAGTTAAGAAAAGGAGGAAGGTGAAGGGGATCTATGCTCCACCTCAATAGTATTGGTTGAAAGAATAATCCCAAAGGTCCTGTTCTACATCATCTACAACATATATATACTACTCTTTCACAATATTAATTGTCACTTCAACTCCCATAATAGGTATTCTACAATATCAGGTAGACAATATTTCAAAGGAAAATGATTTTTCCCCCGAAAAATCATTCCCCGAATCCCCTGAAATAGAGAGAGAGAGAGAGAGAGAGAGAGAGAGAGAGAGAGGGAGAGAAGAAGAGAGCAGAAGACAAAGAGGAGGGGAAGAGCGAATGGAGAGAGAGAGGCCCCTCCGCCTCTGCCGATAGCCCAGCCAATCGTCGCAGCTCATCTGATCGTCGCAGCTCAGCTTGTCGCAGATCGCCCCGCCTCTGCCTCTGCCTCTATCGCCGATCGTCGCGCCTCCGCCCCAGCCCGATTTTGTTTTTTTGTTTTTTTTTTCTGGATCTGAAATGGTTGATGGCCCCTCCAGTTCTGGTTGATGGCCCCTTCAGTTCTTCTTCTTCCTTCTTCTTCTTCTTCTTCTTCTTCTTCCTTCTTCTTTTCTGATTTTCTTCTTCTGAAAAAAAAAAATCAAAACGATGAAAACGACGTCGTTTTGATTTCGGGGGGATTCCGGGAAGGGTCTTTCGAGCTACTAATCACTATTCTATTTCAAATTAAAACCAAAACACGGTTATTCCCAACAGATAGGCCCCTTAAACTCTAAATTGAAGACACCATTCTGACAATTTTTTATCACAAGTTCTTCAAAAACATATCATCCAACACTTACCATGTAAGCATTAGAACTCAAGAAAGTGTCAAAGCTCCAACTCCAAGAAATTTAAAGAGAATTAAAAGCTGCACATAATTGTGCAGGTGAACATAGTCCAGAATCTACGAAAGTGCATTAGCCAAATTATTTTGTTCAAGATTAAAAATTTGAGAAAAGTCAACAAAGACATATAGCAAACAAACTTCACATATTACAAATTGTCTTGAAGTATAACATATACAAGAGCTTCCACGGTAGATAAACTCAGAATGATACACAATGATTTCAATTTTAAAAATTTACCTTCGCAAAACAAAAACAAATAGAAAGATAGATGTATACCTTCAAGCTTTCTCCTTTGGCAACATCCTTGAGGGAAACAAAGCTTGGAATATGAGCAGTCCCATAAAATGTAGGGTTGATGTTGATCCCGTCAATATTTAACTTCTCAACCCTACCTTCCTTAGGACTATAAAGCACGAGAACACCCTTGTTAACAAGCATCAAAATTTCACCGTTCTTTAAAATCATAATTGTTTCATAATAGTCACCATACCCTCTCATACTAGTCACATTCCCAATAACGAACTCTTTGCTCCAAGACTCCTTAATGCCATAATCTTTCATTATCCATATATCACAATGAAAGGGATTAGAAAAATCACTAATGGAGAGACTATCTCTTAACACACCAACACGTACAAAACCCATAAAATTCTTCCTAGGCAGACCACACTCAGGAGGTTCAGGAACAACCCGAAATTGCTCAGACCCAAAATCAAAACAACGAATGAAGTTGGGACTATCTTGGGTGAAAGTAAGCCAATGAAGAGCCCCATTCACGAAAGAATTGACTGAATGATTAATCAAGAGTGCTGCTATTAGCACCTGCCAAAATTCTTTGGACCCCCTATTTTATAATTTTTTTTTATTACAATTACACCCTAAAGTAAAATTACACTAAAAGACATTATTAAATAGAACACCCACCTATCAATAATAATTAATACTCTATAATATTGGACCCCCACCCCCATCTCCAACTCCAACTATACGTATTCTATGTTTGTAAATCCTAAACCTATTACTTTTCATAACCAACTAACATAAACCCTAAATCTATTATTTTTCATAATCATCTTAAATCTTGAATGTGTCATCTTCATTACCATCATCAACGCTATTGAACTTGAAAGCTTTGCTTCAAGTATAACGTATACTTCATCATCTTATAAGTTTATCTGTCTTGCATTAACATTCTCGGTCGTTTTCGGTCGTTCTTGTTTCGTTCGAGCTGTTCGGTACTGGTTTGCTGACTGTTAGAATTATGTTCGGTAATACAGTACTGAACATAATCCTTTCGTTCAATACATAGGTTCCGAACATTAATGCAGATAGTCAGTTATGTAATTTTCTTTGTTAAACTAACTTAGAATGGAAAAGAGTGAATTTGAATGGATTTAAGTTATGTATTTTGAATGGATTTAATTCATGTTATTTCAAGTTGTGAATTGGAATGGATTCAAGTTACACAGTGATGAACAAATTTTGTTCGGACATACAGTGCTGACAGGATCATTATTGTTCGACAAAATAGTTCTGAACAAAATACATTTTTTCGGCTACACAGTGGTGAACAAATTGTTTTGGGCTACATTCAGAATTCTGATGGCGATTCAGACGATGATTCTGTTTTTCCTCATCTTGCAAACGGTTATACAAATCCGTAGAAATTGGAGTATCTTCGATCGATCTCAGTGATGACGAAGATACAAAAAGCAACGAAGAAGATGATGATGAGAGGATGAGAGAGGTTACTGGTTCGACGATACGGAGAGCGTTCAGAGAAGATGAGAGTCGTCAGAATGCTCCGTTGATGGCCAAGACGGCGACGAGAGTGGTGGAGGGTTGGGGTCCAAGAATTCTATACTGGACCAAAGCTCCAAACTCTGAAGATTGACTGAGTCAGGGAAGGAGAGGGATGAAAAATTAGGTGGGTGTGCATTTCCTTATGAAAATATTGTCAATATGAGTAGATTTGGTAATAAGTGGGGTATTCAAAAATATATTATTAAAATTTAAGATTTAGGGTTAGGGTCCAAAGAATTTTGATAGGTGCTAATAACAGCACTCTTAATCAAATAGTAAGGAACAATCCCTATGTCTCTCCACGACCCTTGACCAATTGTGTAAATCATAGCCTTGGCTTGGTTAATGGGGTCGAAAACCCGATAAACAAAAAATTGTATAACCTTGTATTGGTTAGTCATTGGACTAAAACCAAAAGCAGTGATGGTACGATGTTGCTGTTTTCCATCATATGTTGAGATGGGTAAGGTAATGTACTCACCCAGAATCGGATTGCATTCGTAAATGGGGTTAGAAATATAGGACAAACAAAGCAAACCATTGCAAGAGGTCACTGTTTGGTGTTCGAGAATTGGGAAATTGATTTTGGAGCTGAATTTCAATTGGGTTTCGCATTGTAGGTCGATCAAGTGGGGTTGTGTTGATTCGGGGTGGTTTCTGTAGATGGGTTTGATCAAGAGACTGATTGGTGATCTAGAGAGGTGGAGCTTGGCGAAGTAAGGGTCTGAGATTGAAAAAAACCAGTCTTTGCAAACGAGTAGGCAATGGAAGAGGGTCTTGATGGGGAGCCTTGAGAGGATTTCAACGATGATCTGGGTTGGAAGTTCTTCTGGGGTGTACTGTTTCTTCTTCTTCCATATGCTCTGATTCATCATCCTGAGATCGTTTCTCTTGTATGAGTGGATTGGAAAACTTTGAGGGAGGTTGGGAAATTTTGATTTGTATTGGTATTTATAGCAAATGTATCTACAAGGAGGGTAAGATTGAGATGTGGGAAAGATAGAGAATCATTTGATTTGTTGGGAAAGATGTGTTTGAATCACGATTTATAAAATCCAAAGTAATGATTATTTTATGACTGATATAATCCAAAGTTGGGATGTGGATTCCTTTCGTTTGTGACTACGAATGCTATTTTAAATTTAGATTCTTTCTTAAATTATGTTTTCAAAATAAAATCAATATTTATTTTTTAATTTATGTATCTTTTATTAAATTATAAAATAAAATTTTAAATTTAAATTCTTTTTAAAATTATGTTATTACAATTAAAATAAGATCAATATTTTGATGTGTCATAATATTATTAGTCTAAACATAATATGTTATTAAATACACGTATTTAAATTATTAATTACTATTAAAAGTTTATATTTTTTTTGTCATTTTTGGTTTTAAATTTTATAAAAAAAAATAATTATATCCTTCTAAACTATAGGGACTTAAACAAGAATTTTTTTTAATACAAATATTTAAAAAAAAATACAAAAATATTTAGAAAATGAATGACTTTTTTAACAATTACCAAACATAATGGAATTATTATTTTTTTATCTCAATTGTCAATTTAACAAATTAAAATAAAAAAAATAAATTTTTTGGCTTAAATAGTTAAGAAGTGACTTTTGCTAAAATCAAATATAAATAAACATTTTTTTTTATTATTAAAAGTGATAGTTGGTGAAACTTATTTTTTTTATATAATAAAAAAAAGGGAGTTACATGTGATAATTTATTGTTTCAGCAATGCTACAAACTCACATTTTCACCCATAATGATGTGACAAGGGAGTTGGACCCTATATCATTGAGTATATAGCAAATCAAGAATTAACATATATGATACGATATCATTGTGGATACAATTGCGAGTTTTTTTTTTTGAGTCTCTAATATTTTTTTTATTGTTCATCTAAACGTTTTTAGCACTTGCGGAATATGGTGGATCTTGTTATTTATTTTTTTAAAATCTCAGTTGTCAATTAAACAAACTAAAATAAAAAATGAAAAAAAAATTGGCTAAAATTCCTAAAAAGTGAGTTTTGCTAAAACAAATACAAATAAATGTTAATTTTCTAATAAAAGTGATGGTTTGTGAAATATCTTTTTTTATTTAAAAAAATGAGGGTTATAGGTGATAATTTATTGGTTATCTATTTTATTTTTAGATTAAATGAAAATACCACTCTAAATTTTCTTTTTACCTTTTTTTTATATATAGATACTTTTGTTTTGTAGAAATTTAGTTTTATTATATCTAAATACTTTATTGGCACTCTTAATCAAATAGTAAGGAACAATCCCTATGTCTCTCCACGACCCTTCACCAATTGTGTAAATCATAGCCTTGGCTTGGTTAATGGGTGTGAAATATGTAAGATATCTGAATGAATGTTGTAATTGTTATATTTGTTGGTTACAAGAGTGATGCTTATTTATAGAGAAAGCACCGAAAGGAAAAGACATAATAATGAAAGTGTGTGAGTGGTGTTTGACAGAATAATGAAAGTGTGTGAGTGGTGTTTCTTCTTTACAACCGAAAGAAGAAGAGAATCCTATGCCCTATGCTTTCTATGTTTTATCTTATAATATACTATTACATTATACATTATACTATATACATTACATTGCGTCGGAGAACGAGGATGCGCGTGGCCGTAAATTCTGGCGGCGCGTGGAACGTCGGCTGGGGATGAATTTGGTGGTGGTGGCTTCGTCGTGAGGAGACGAAGAGATTGGTGTGGTCCAATAAGGAAGACAGAGAAGGTCGAAATATGCACCAATCTGTCAAAATGTGAGGCAGACGAGAGACACAGCAGTCTGTGAAGAAAAAAAAAATGTAGAGACTAGGCAACACACCTGTGCTCTGATACCATATTAGTTTGAGAGAGTGAGAGAAGATAGAGAGAGAGAAACAATGAAAATGAATGAATTGTTTCTATTATGTTGTGTGTCTGTACAAAGAAATAGATGTCCTCTTTATAGAGAGGAGAGGCACTCATAAGATGCCAATTGGCACCGAAAGTTACAAGCAAATGGGGAACATCTAATTATGAAAGTTACATATCATAAATTATCGAGCCAAGTCAAACTCAAGTTTCATTAACGAGCCGAGCTGAGCTCGAATCCAGTTCCTTATCAAGCCGAGCTCAAACTCAATAAATAAGCTCGATAAATAAATGAACCGAGCCGAACTCGGCTCAGTTTGTTTGTGGCCCTACCTTCAATTTATTATTTGGATTGGAGAATTCAGTTTGTTGGGATTTATTTCACGTTTTATCAATGTAAATGAGAACCCAACACACATATTATTTCTTTTTTAAGTTTAGTTTAATGGATTTATTTTTATTTTTATTTTTATTTTTTTGCTTTAATTATTTCTCTTCATTTTTTTTAGAAAACCCCATGTGATAATTAAGATGATCTATAAAGTCTGGTGAATTTAAATTTTTCATTACTTTGCAAATGATTGGAGTTTTCTTTTCAAATGCAATTCAATGAAACAGGTAAAGATGCTTGATCAATTTGATATTTTATAAATATATTCTACCCAATATACTCTAAAAATGAACAGTTTAAATTATTGATATCCGAAATAAATTCCAATAACTGTACAATTGTAACTATTGTGCCCCCACATAACAAATACCCCATTTTCATATTTTAATTATGTCTTTCAATTCATTAAGATGTTGCATAAATATCTCATATGAACAATTCTAAAAAAATCGTCTAACATGGGAAAATATTAAGGGTGTATGTTATAATTTCCCTTAAACATATACTCAACCCAAATTTCATAATAGAGTTACCTAATCAGTGCATAATGATATGCTCACATCAGCCAGAGTGCTGCTATTAGCACCTGTCAAAATTCTTTGGATCCCCTATTTTATAATTTTTTTAATTACAATTATACCCTAAGGTAAAATTACATTAAAAGACATTATTAAATAGAATACCCACCTATCAAATAAGAACAAATACTTTATAATATTGGACACCCACCCCCATCCCCACCCCCACCTCCAACTCCAACTCTAACTATACGTATTTCATGTTTGTAAACCCTAAACCTATTAATTTTCATAACCAACCAACATAAACCCTAAATCTATTATTTTTCATAATCATCTTAAATCCTGAATGTGTCATCTTCATCACCATCATCAACCCTATTGAACTTGAAAGTTTTGCTTCAAGTATAACATCTACTTCATCACTTATTTCACTGTGTAGAGCAATAGAGGACGAGGACAACAATTCTAGTGAGACTAGTGTTCCATGGGTAAGTTTATCTGTCTTGTATTAACATTATCGGTCATTTTCGGTCATTTTCAATCGTTCTTGTTTTGTTCGAGTTGTTCGGTACTGGTTTGCCGACTGTTAGGATTATGTTCGGTAACACGGTACTGAACATAATCCTTACATTTAATACATAGGTTCTGAACATTAATGTAGATAGTCGATACTGTTAAACCGAATATCATCTTTATTTTCAGCACTATTGAACTGAACAAATGGACTTAGGATTACTGCTAATCTGGGACTCCCGGTGGGATTAGGATAAACTCTCTAAGAGTCTTATCTTTACCCAAACTGAAGTCTTCTCCCAATCTAGGACTCTTGTCCCATATCCATGTTGAGTTCCCTCTTCATTCTAGGACTCTTGTCCCTTATCCACTTATCTCGGATTCTGATATCTTCAGAGATAACCTCGGCCTAACCGAGATGACCTCGGCATAACAACCAGGACACGTGGCACCTCGGCTGACACGTCGGCGTCACCTTGCCACGTGTTAGTACTCAGAAAATATATCTCCACAATTGCCCCCTAGGTTCTATTACCTCGGCATTCTGTGGTGATGGAACCTACACTGTTCGTTCATTTGTGCCCCTCTGTCCGAGATCAAACTCGCTGACCTCAAAGTTCCCTGGACTTTACTATTCATTTCTGTCAAGTATCAAGCTCCATGCTTCCAAGCTGCTCGAGATCACACCTCCTAGCCGAGATTCTTGTTCCATTAATTCGTAAACTCTAAGAGCTTTGCAACTGCTCCACTCACATTCTTCGGTGGGTTCCCGATTTCCAGTTATCTATTTTACTCCGGCGATCTTCATATCGGCGTTCAAAACTCTTTTATTAAGCTCAATCTTTCATAACTCTTCTGAATCCGTTTACTTGCCCTCTGTTGTCTTCTATTTTCGTCTGTTTTCAAGTTTTTGATTGTCTGAATGCCTGGCACTGTCCTTGTCATATCCGCTTTTTGTTGCTAGCATCATGTCTGGGTCATTACTTTCTTGTTCTTCACATACTTGCGTAGTGCTTGTGCACTTGGCTTTATTCTTGACCTTTGTCGTCTTCTTGACTCTGATTTTTCCCTTTTTTCATTCAATCCTTTGGCTTTTTCTCTTTCTAGCTCTTTTGCTTAAATCTGTCATTGTTCCAAGCTTTTAAGCCCTGCAACTGTTTTTGTTCCTTTTCTCCGGTGAAGCTAACGTCATTCTGTCATTTTCGCATCCGTCGTCAGACTTTGGCAATTCTCATTCAGGCTTCCCTCTTTCTAGTAAGCCACTTTTCCTCCTGGTTTTATTTCTTGTTGATTTCCAAGAAGCTCTGCTTCATTGTTAATCCACCATTGTTGTTTTACCCGTTGTTTCCAAATCATCTTCTTGAATATACACTGTTCACATATCTGTTGATTTCTGCCACTGTTCTTGGCTTGACACACCTGTACAATCTTTTTGTCTTGATTTCTTGATAGCTTCATCACCATTTTTGTTTTACGAATTACATTCTTGTTTCTGTTTTCTGTGTCTTTTCCCAGAGTTTTGCTTTCAATCCTTGCTTTCAAAACGCCGAGGTGCCAATTGCCGAGAAAAGCTTTGATCAAACTCTTCAGGAGTTTGATGCTGAGATCGTGGCTGAGAA